ATATATATATTTTTTTTTTTTCTTGCATACTTAATAAGTCGACAGCTGAAACATGTATTTACTTAGAAAGATTTTACTTCATTGCAAATTGTAAATATCGAAATCATAAGGCTATCAAATCTCAGTGATTCTTATGTTATGAAAAATTATAAAAATTAATACAACATATTTAGCACTATACTTAGTTGCTAAACATTTTTAACTTGTTTGAATTATAACTTGCATTATTATTGCGACAATAATATCAAAAGTTGTTAAAGATGAAATTTCAAAGTAGGATTTCTGAAACTACTAAATATTTTGAGCTTAAACTAGAATTTAATGTAGGAAAAAAAGAAATTAAAGTATGAGCATACATAATTTTATAAGTACACAGTTAAAACATATTTATCTTAACGATTGTATCATATTATTACAATCTGAACTTGTGTTGTTTTAGACTTTGTTGGCTTAGTAAATCAAGCAATGACATGTTACCTCAACAGTCTTTTACAAGCACTATACATGACACCGGAATTCAGAAATGCTCTGTACACATGGGAATATACAGGCACAGAAAAAGAAGCAACAAATATTCCGTTTCAACTACAAAAACTTTTTTTGAACTTACAGGTATTACAAATATGGTTATTTTAAGTAAGTTGATTTGAATAGACCTAATCAAATTCCTCATACATAGACATCAGGAAGGTCGGTTGAAACAACTGCACTAACTCAAAGTTTTGGATGGGATTCAACGGAAGCTTGGAATCAGCATGATATTCAAGAATTGTGTCGTGTTATGTTTGATGCCTTAGAAAAAACTTTTAAAACCACGAAACATCCTGATTTCATCAACAGACTTTATGAGGGTAGGTCATTTATATGACACATTTTTTAACTCATATTTCACATATAAAATTATTTCCAGGAAAAATCCTTGATTATGTTAAGTGCCTAACATGTAATTTGGAAAAATCTAGAGAAGATTCTTTTCTTGATATTCCTTTACCGTTAAGATCCTTTGATGGTAGTGTCACGTACGGTAGCGTGGTATGTTGTGATTCGTCCTTTAAAACAACATACACACTAAAAATTGATTGTATAAACAAAGTTTAAATTTTTAGGAGGAAGCATTAGAAGCGTTCATTAAGTATGAAACACTAGAAGGAAATAATCAATATTTTTGTGAGAAATGTAATAAGAAATCTAATGCACATAAAGGACTCAAGTTTTCTAAATTTCCGTATATTCTTACGTTGCAATTAAAACGTTTTGACTTTGACCACAATACTTTTCATAGGATCAAGTTGAATGACAAGTAAGTTGATGATACATTTAAATTTAGTGATACCACGTTGTGAAAAATTCTTTCGAATATTATTTTCGTTTAAAACAATTATTTCAATAAAGTTTTTATGATTAATATGTCGCGTTTACTATTTTCTAACTAGGTAAGATTAGTCAATGCTTTAATTAGTGCTTAAAAAGAAAGACATCTCCTTTGAAATATTTTGAGCTAAGGAAATGACAAAAAAATTTTTTGATTAAAAAAAAAATCGTGATAATGTTTTTTACTACATAATAAAGGTATTATAAAAATCCGATAATTCAAGCGTCATTAACTACTAAGAACTAAATAATGAATCATGCAAAATAAGTTGTTTATTGTTTCATCATCCTTTTATTAATTGATAAAATTTTTTTTTTTTTAGAGTAACGTTTCCAGACAAGTTGAATTTAAATTTGTTTATCGCATCCAATCAAGAAACTCCTAGTCAAGACGATGCTGAGAGTAATGGAAAGGGTGTCGATATTGCTGCTGACGAAAGTAGCACTGATGCACGCGAGGAGTCGAGTAATATGCCATTATCCAACAACAGTAATCATTTGTCAAACAGCAATCACGATCAAGATGATGATGAAGGTGAAGGTGATGAAAATTATATTAAAACATGTTTCCAAGATTTTCCAAATATCTTTTTACTTTTCTCTTCAATGTATGTATATAAAAAAAAGAAGAACTTCGATGGCTTCGTGGTTAGCGTGCTAGCCTCCTAGCCGGAAAAACTCGGGGGATCGTGGGTTCGAATCCCATCGAAAGCTATCGAGATTTTTTTCTCAGGCTTTTTTGATGAGATGAGTACCTATGATGCCGAAACACCACTTATCCGAATTTTAAAAATGAATAGTGAATTTTGTCTTGTGATGTCTGGACCTCCAGGGGCTTCCTTTTCGAAAGAAAGCCAACACCTGACCAGCTCATTGGGTAAAGTCACTATCGGTTTTATAAAGGTTGGGACAGCGAATTGGATGGTTTATTGGAAAAATATCTTTCTATTAATCTTTATAATAGCTGGGGTGTACTTGAGACAATCGCTGCGCAAAGGAGGGTAATTATGGAAAAAAGAACAAGGGAGGTAATGATTAGGGACATACGATACGTAAAAACCCTGCAATGGGTACCTATACTTGAAATCATAATACTACTTCTCCTTGGCTAAATACTTTTAAGATTATCGAAATCTATTTATGTACAAAATTGTAAAAAAAATCAACATCCATTGCGATTTAAAATTAATACACAAATAATTAATTACATCGCGAATAAGCTTAATGGGTTGAGCGCTAAAACAATGTATTAATCATGTTTCAGCCCAATCATAATGGAACTAAAATTAGGTTAGTATCCGTTGCTTATGAGTAAAAAAAGACACTTTGACTATTTTGGACGCGTATTTTGGATATTTCGGCTGTTAAAGACTCTTGTTACTCGTAAGAGTCGTAGGTATTGTTAATTTTTTCTTTGGAGTTAACTTTTTTCTTCAACATATACGTGTTCTACCAACTTTAACATGTATACAATGCGAAGATCTAGGAGGAAGGGCATAAAGGAGACCTTACTTATTAGTATCATATATAAATTAAGCAAACAAAGATGGAGACAACAGTTGGCCTGAAGTATTCCTTGAATTCGCTCATCTTTAGCATTTAGTTTAAATTTCTAAGGGTATAAATAACCCAATTACTGCGGATTAAAATTTTCGAATGTGCTAAGTTATTTCTTCCTCTGTATTTTTCGATGTAAATTGAAGCAGTTTAACTTTATCTTTTTCTGCATCATCTTATACGATTAAAAGAACGAACACTTTTCTTTTATGTTCATTATTATCCCATGTATAAAAATGCATCGCTTTGTGTATTGGGATTATGCCTCTACCACGTGACCTCAGTATATATATGACTAATGTAGAGGGAAAATAACACAGGTCTTATGGGAGGAATCTTGTTTTTATTTTTTTTTCGCACTTAAAAAGATATTGAGCTTAAAAAGGTTGTTAATTCCATGTTACTGACATAATGAGAGTTACGTAGTTATTTTTTTCCTTTGATGAATTCGTTCATAAAGGTTGAAACAGCGTTTTGAACGTATACAGAGTGCTGTTTAACCCTACTTTGAGCTGTTTGTTTCAGCTGTTGCTGCTGCTGCGCCACTGCTGCTGATGCTCAGAGGTAAACAAACAGCTCAAAGTAGGGTTAAACGGCACTCCGTGTGCGTTCAAAACGCTGTTTCAACCTTTATGAACGAATTCATCAAAGGAAAAAAATAACTACGTAACTCTCATTATGTCAGTAACATGGAATTAACAACCTTTTTAAGCTCAATATATTTTTAAGTGCGAAAAAAAATAAAAACAAGATTCCTCCCATAAGACCTGTGTTATTTCTCCTCTATATTAGTCATATATATATACTAAGGTCACGTGGTAGAGGCATAATGCCAATACCTTTAATACGTTTGTATTTTCATCAATTTTTCTTTATGTTTAAAAAGGAAAACTACGTGTCCAATAATTTTCTTATTAACCGACCTGATTAATATAAAAAACTGGCTTTTTCGTAACACCCCAGTTTATTATTTATTTATTTTTGTTGCTTACTCTAAGAGAAAGCTTTGTAATGAATATAAAATCACGTTAAAAAATAACTGCATATTATGCTAATACGTTTTCTTAATCATAGAATCAAAGAAAACTTACTGGCAAAAATATCCGTCTATTTACGTGTCTATGTCTTCATATGTATCAATTATACTACAATACTTGCGACCGATTTCGATTGAACATAGCTTATTTTTTTGTTCTTGTTTTAATACATTTATCATCACTGAAAAAAAAGATTTTGGTTTCAAAGCTGTGATTATTTTGTATTTCTTCATTTTGATTTTTACGAAAAAAAAAAAATTTTCCTACCTCGGGCGTTTTTGAGAGGCTGGTGTGCCCTCGGTAGGAAAAATAGGATTCGCCACATAAGCGCTATCGCTCCGTGGCTACCTTACGTCCCTCGGGCCCTGCTTCGCAGGTCCCTTGGGCCGCAAAATAGCCCCGGAGACGATGGCACTTATCCGACGAAAACTACTATTTTCTGCTTTTTATCGCTGTTTCAAGACATTTTATATTAAACAATCTGTTAAGATCATAAAAGTACTAATGAATTGGCCGCAGTTTTTATTTATTTCGCAAAAAAAATTTTCGAACTATAATGTTGAAGATTTTTATATTCCTTGATGCACTACGACTTTACAAACATTATTATAAATGTTGTGTATGATTTTTATTTTAAAACTAAGAAAATCTACAAAAAATATCCCGTTTTAATCCCCCCTTTAAGGAAAAATAATATTTTTTTTGAGGGCACACCCTTGAAACCGGACTCATTTTACTCATTTACTCATAATGCCGTGTACTTTGAGTGAGGGAGACACCCTTTTTCCTCAATTTACATGTTAAAATTGTATCCATACACATTATCTATATAGATATAATAATAGCATGTAAATCGCAGAAAAACGGTGTCACCCTCACTGAAACCCGTGCTCAAAATTTTTCTCCATAGTGTCTACATGACATTACGAATAAAATAAGTTCAAAAATGGGATATTTTTCGTGGATATCCTCGTATACTTATGCACACTTTTTGCACTAGTACAAAATTTAACAGTCGTACCTCAGAGGCGAAAATTAAAAATTTTTATTTTGCTCATGTGTGAAGTTTTACGAGCCATGCAGATTTTTTAATACATTAAATTGGATAAAAATAATGTCAAAACTAATGAAATTGGATACCAGTTATTTTTTAAGTGGATTAATCCGTGAATGAGCTAAAATTATATTAACAGATATACAAGTGGTTAACAACACGTTTTACTTATGTATACAATATAAAATGTTACTGCAAGCCTAGTAAGTTTGTATTGTTAGTATGGTAGAATTAGTGTTTCGACCCATAAAATTATGACTAGCACGAAAAAAATAGGGTAGTAGTTTAAAAGCATAGTAATAAATTAACATAGAATTTAACAAGTAGAAATGCCAGCAAAAGCCCCTAAAAAATGGACAAAACATGTTTTCCGCATCTAAAAGAAAACTGAAGAATCGCAAGTAAAAAAGTGTGTCGTAAAAAAATGTGCAATTTCAATCCCAACAAAATGAGGCTCGTTGGGTTCAAATCGATTTGGCCGTTTTTTCGCAAATCGCAAAAATTTTCTATTTTGAGCCATTTTTACAAAATTTAATAACTCGCGTTCTACACAATATTCAAAGCTAAAATTCTAACACAAGGTGGATATAATGGTCCTTCACTTACAAACAAAATTACACACAATTTTAAACTCTTCGGCGGTAAAAACAAACGGCGTTTTAGGTACTTGTGTAGTAAATATAGACAAAGCGAAATACGTTTGGAAAATATACCTATATTAGCTAACAACTTTTTTATGGCCATTTTTGGAGAGGACCTATTGTCGGTTTTTGCTGCGATTCGCGAAGAGTTTAAAACCGATCAAACTGAAAGTTTGTGTGTATGTTAGGGACTTTAATATCTACCTTGTATTAAAATTTTAGCTCTCAATATTGTATAGAACGTGAGTTACTAAATTTCGAAAAAATGGCTCAAATTGCAATTTTTGCGATTTGCGAAAAAATGGCTAAACTGATTTGAACTCAACACGGCTTCTGATGTTGGTATTAAAATTGTGCATTTTTTTACACAATTTTTTTTTATGTGTGATTCTTCGGTTTTCTTCTAGATGGAAAAAACATGTTTTGGCCATTTTTGCCATTTTTTTGGGACTTTGGCTGACATGTCTATTTGTTAAGTTCTGTGACAACTTGTTACTATGCATTGAAACTACTACCATATTTTTTTTCGAGCTAGTCAGAGTTTTCGGGATATCGATATGATTTTTAGCTAATTCTACCATACTATGAATCGATTTTTCCAAAAGAACTACAAATTCGTGCTTTGTTCGTAGAAATTCGTAAAAAAAAAAATTGGTTTCATATATTTGCCTTTGAGCCTCGGAGCACCCGGAAGTGCAATTCGTCCGTGGTGTGACTATTGCTTTTGGCTAGGGTTAGTTTTAGCTCCATATATGATCGCCCAAGATATTTGTTACATGTTTAATGAAATATTTCTGCAAACAACCGGTTTTATCAATTAAAATAACTAATCGAGCTTATTGTAGAAAATGATTACTAGAATTTTTTACGAATATATTTATTTTCATATTTCGTGAATAGGGAGATGTATTAAGAATACGTATGATTGATTACAAAAAAGTTCATAAAATAAATACTTAGTTCATAAGCCAAAATTATGCCCAATCGACTTTGAATCATTCAATTACAATTGCATTGCAGGTGTTTGGCGGAGCTGGCTTTAATTCAGAATATCCAGTAGAAAAATTAATGAGGGATGCCAAAATCTATCATCTTTACGAAGGAACTGCACAAATTCAGAGACTGATTATTTCCAGACAGCTTTTCTCGAATTTCATACAAAAAGAAAAATAAATATAATTTTCTTTTAAACCTTGATGAATATACCTATTAACTGAAGACTTATAAATAAAATTATTGAATATTTTAGATTTAACTTTTTTTGTAATAAAAATTTTTTAAAGACATTTTTCTTTGTTAATATTATTTTTATAATGTTGTCAAAAGAATTGTCTTAGAGATTTAGAAACCTGTAGGCAAGGGGAGGCCAAATCGATGAGGAACCATCGGCGTGCAAGACAATAAGTACAGAAGAGCCAAATCGCTCATGAAAGCTCGTTTCGCCTCCTCTTTTTCTCACTCTTCATA